TATGTACAGAAGAATATGAGAAAATAAGAAGAGCCTTGCTGAGTCAGGCCAAAGGTCAATTGCATCCAGCATCCCATTCTCCCCGTGGCCTCGGGGAATCCCACAAACAGGAACTGAATGCAACAGCACTCCTCCCAGAAACTGGTATTCGGAGACATCCCTGAAATTGTAGTCAGTGTTTCAGATGGAAATCAGATTAAAATCTGAGGTTTCCCCCCACCCCCAACTGCTTAACCTGATCCAGGAAGCAATTTCATGGGCGTCAACTGCTCAAAAGTTCTACCAACCATGCCAATCGCTTTGTCAATACACCTTCTATTTTTAGCAAATATAGACTAATATAAACATTTAGCCTTTTCAGATCTTGGTGTGGGAAAAGGCACACTGCTTGGGGAGTGTTCTCAAAGCCTTGGAAGTAATTGCTATGGTTGGCTCTTGAGCTTTCCTCCTAGATGAATGGTATTGCCATTCATAACAACCAAAAGGAACTTTAATGTAATGCATGACAATGACAGTGCGTTCTAACAAAGTACTAATGTGGTGACACACACAATAATCCCATTTGTTCAAGGTCTCACCATGAGTTTCTTATTTTGGAGTGCCTCAGGTGGCAAACCTATTCGCCTTTCAGCCCTTGTTCAATTGTTTGAAAGTTGGTTGATTGAAAAATTAAAAATATAGTAACTAATATCTGATCAGTGAGTGCCCTCTAGTGATGAAAAATATTTAAATCCTCTGCCTATAGATTGGAAATCCCCTATGACATCTGCCTGTTTACAGTTTCTAAGCACCGCCCTTTAAACCCAAATGTGAAATCTTACCTGGATCTGACTCAGTGTAAAATCTGTGTTTCTTCCTCCAGAATTAAGCACAATGCAAGCTGGGCTGAGCAATCCTATATTCATATTAACCCAGCACAGGAGATATGCCACCACTGCACTGGTAGAACGGCCGCTATATCCAATCCATGCTCAGACCAGGGCAACAGGATAACACCCTAGCAGAAAATGCAGTAGCCAATCAGGAACTATACTGGCAATAATGCCCACAAGCTGCCTATGCAGGGACAGACAATGAACTCATGACAATCAGAACATAGCATGACTAGTGGCTGTTGCATGTGCTGAGGTGCTGGTGTCTGTCAGGGCTGGTTCAGCATGAAGACTCAGGGATGAATAATAAAGTTAATTCTTTATTCAAGGCAATAGAACACACACAAACTTACGGCAGACCTTCCAAGTGTCTCTATTTTGCAGGGACAGTCCCAGATTTACAGAAGCCATCCCAATTTCTGATTTGATCCTGAAATGTCCCGCTTTTCCTTAGAATGTCCGTATTCTCATCCGAGAAATATTGGAGGGTATGGTAGGATTTTCATCAGAAAAATGTTGGAGAGTAAGGAGTTATCTGACCCCAAGCCACCTGAAGGCAGCCCTGTATAGGAAAGGTTTTTATAAAATGTTTAATATGTAATTATTATTATTATTTTTATATATGTTGGAAGCCACCCAGAGTGGCTGGGCAACCCAGTCAGATGGGTGGGATATAAATAGTAAAATTATGATTATGATTATTATCATGGAATAGGACATCCCTATTTGGAGGGATGTTGGAGGGTATGCTAGGGTATGACTGGCCCTGGTAAAGACATTCACAGAACTAGAGTTCTGGATCTCCCACTTCCTGCTAAGCCTCCTCCCCACCCATGTGTCTTCCCAGCAGTCTTCAACTCCGCTGGAGAGGGGCCCTCTGAGCTCTCTGCTCTGTAACATGCAACACCCTCTGAGTCCTCCTCAGAGACAAGCGGGGAGGAGAGCTAAATACAGTAGGACCTGCCTGCTCCTGTGAATCTGTCTCAGCTTCAGCCCCCACCTCCTCCTCAGCTTCCTGTTCTATGTCTGCAGTGTTTTCCTTCTCTCTCCCACTCAAGCCTGTTTCTTGTTCAGCATCCCCCCCCCCATTCCTCCTCTGTCTTCATTGTCCCACTACCACTCTCCCAGCTCAGAGCTCTTCTCTTCTGAGGCTTCCCTGGGGTCTTCGGGCTGGAGCTCCCCACCATTCCTCACCATTCAGCCAGTCCCTGACAGTGTCCTCATCACCCTGAGTTCATAGGCTCTTTCTCTATGGACAACATATGAGCATTATCATCAGTTGAGTCTATGGTGGGTTGCCACTAGTGGTGTATTGTGGGTTGCCAGGGGCATGTCTGTCCCTTTTATACCATTTTTGTATTTTCTGGTTGTGTACTTTGCCCTTCCTTCCTATGATAAGCTTATTCAGGATACTGTGGCCATTCAGCCAACAGCGCTATCTTCTCTCAAAGCATAATTATAGTTATGAGTTGCTCTGCAAATTACTTCCTTCCTGTCAACATTGAACGTGAGCTTTCAGAGTAGCTTTTATTGTTGTCTAATCCAAGAATGGGGAATGTGTGGCCCTCCAGCTCCTAAACTGTGACACTCCTTTCTTCACATGGCAACTATATTTTCTGTGCTCTATGATTTTACACACTGCTGCAGAAACTGTCAGTTTCAATTCGAACTGTAAAGTCTTTCACTTCCAGCCATTTTTGAAATTATGTTAATAAGGCAGATGTTTCTGTTTGTTTACTTTGCCTTGTAATTAGAAGAGAACGCTTTAAAAGTATGTGTCAAGACAACATTTTTTTCTGTTGGTATAAACTATATGCTCTGTGTTCAGGGGTTTGCTGTGGGGCTGTTTTTGTTTTTTTGGTCTGGTTAACCCACATATAGCAATTGAAAGGACCCAGGAAAGAGGAAATCTCCAATTAACATCAATGCAAACCTTAATGCATGCTAATTTCAAGGGCAGCTCATTTAAACCACGGTCAGCTGATTTCTGTATTTCTACAGGATTAACTCTTCAACATCTGGCACTGAGGCTTGTTCCAAACATTATCATAGTTCAAAAGCTTTTCTTCTAGCAATCTCCAATGCTGGCAACAATCCCAGATATGTGGAATGAAAATGAAGCATCGATGTGGTATACGCATGCGTGTGCACACAGACAAGCATGCCAGCCAAAGTAAGTGATCCCACAAACCGTCCTACACAAACCACGCTGGAGCTAATAGATTCTATGCCAGGCTTCCTCAGCCTCGGCCCTCCAGATGTTTTTGGCCTACAACTCCCATGATCCCTAGCTAGCAGGACCAGTGGTCAGGGAAGATGGGAATTGTAGTCTCAAAACATCTGGAGGGCCGAAGTTGAGGAAGCCTGTTCTATGCAAATGCTGACAAGTCAAAATTGACTTTCTTGTGACTTTAAAATATCTAACATTTCAGGAAAATATTAGATTTTGGAAGCTTCCCCATGGCAAGCTCAGTATGTGCCTCTTGTTCTTAGCATGTGAATGACAAAATCAGCAGCAGGCAATTTTGTTTTATCCTTTAACTCCGTGGTTCCCAATTAGCTAAATACTGAGGACCCTCGATTTTTCAAAAGCCAATCCACAGACCCCCTACCTTTGAAAATTTTGATAACTCTATGGTGGTTACCTGTGCAAAGCAATTTTTTTGAAAAAATGTGGGGTAGCCCCTAATAAGCAAAGGATTTTAGGCATACTAAAAAACAGACTAGGGCTGAGTGATATATCATGATGTTGGAAAACAGATATCAGCAGCTAAACATTGCGATATTCCGATATATCACGATGTCTTAAATTTGAGATCAGGTGTGGGGATGAGGGAAGAAGTAGCCTCAGAGATCGAAGGTAGTGCCATGGTGTCTTGAAGTGAGGGTAATCAGCTCTGTTTTCCCTCAGCTTGAAGAAAGGCAGCTCAGATCAGCAGCATTTATCAGCCGAGATCGGAGGTGCCTTGAAATCGGCTGCCCTGCTCTACCTCACGCAAGGAGCAATATATTGCCGCATATTGCCAGGTCAAAATCGTTATCACAGTGTGATTTAAAAAGCGAGTTTGGTCAATATATTGAAAAAATTGCACAGTGCTGAAATAAGACCATTGAATCTGTGATGTTACCATGCAAAAATGACAAAAAAAATTAGTTGTGGGGAGGCAAGGGATGGGGCCGCGGACCCCCTGGGTGTGTTCTCCGGACCCCTAATTGGGAACCACTGCTTTAACTAACAGCCAGCTCCTACTTATGTTTCCTTGAAAGTGCAGCTGTGCTCACTGAGACTTATTCATAGTAAATATGCTTAGGACTTCATCATGTGTGAATGAAGAGAGCTGGGGATAAGAACACAAGAACCACCTGCTGGAACAGGCCAATAGCCCATCTAATCTAGCATGCTGTTCTCACAGGGGCCAACCAGATACATTTCACTCATCTCAAGGAGACACATGGCCAGTTCCCTAATTGGAACCACATTTTTCGGCTGCGATGTTATGGGGCCCATCATCAGACCCAAGGTCCTGAAAAGTTGTTGGACTCCAACTCCCATCAGCCCCAGGCAGTACGACCGATGGTCAGGGATGTCAGGACTTCTTTTCCAACAAAATCTGGAGGGCCAAAGCTTTCCCAATGCTGTTTCATATTGCATTTTAATTGTTATATGTGTTTTGCAGGATGCCCAGAGAACTTATGTTATGGGGCAGTTATGTAGATCCAGTTGAGAACAAGAAATGGCTCAAAGTTGCGTTGCCCAAACTTGTGTTGCCCAGGCGTTTCTGGCAGCACAGAGAGTGGGCATGTTGCAGGGCAGATCTTCATGAAGCCAAGGGCAGCCTCTGTATGTAGGAAATATCATGCTCAATATTTCTCTGATCAGTTTGAGGTTATTATTGAATGTTCTCTACTGCATCCTGTAACAATAAAACCCAGACTGTTTTATTGCCTGCAAGTCGGATCAGAGGGGAGATACTGTTGCTTTATGTTCGGTGCACCATCAACTTTTGCACCTTCTCTCACGAACCTTGCAAGAATAGAGGAAACTGCCCAGAGCAAGCAGGTTAACCACTCCTTGAAGGAACAGCTGGGTGCACCCAGGTGACTGTTGCTGGGCCACTCTTCACGTTATCACAGAACAAGTGGTGGGATGGATCCTGTACCTGGGGGAGAGCAGTCTATGATGAGCAGAGACAGACTCACAGAGAGCGATGAGCAATAGTCAGCAGCTGGAGCAGATGGTTCCTGGACTTAGAAACATAGAAGGTGTTGTGAGGAGGTGAGAGGGAAGAGGGAATGGTACCAAATGGGTGCTCTGTCAGTACAGTGGTACCTTGGGTTAAGTACTTAATTCGTTCCGGAGGTCCGTTTTTAACCTGAAACTGTTCTTAACCTGAAGCACTACTTTAGCTAATGGGGCCTCCTGCTGCCGCCGCGCTGCCAGAGCACAATTTCTGTTCTCATCTTGAAGCAAAGTTCTTAACCTGAAGCACTATTTCTGGGTTAGCAGAGTCTGTAACCTGAAGCGTATGTAACCTGAAGCGTATGTAACCCGAGGTACCACTGTACCACTATTGGGGCTTGGGGAGAAACCAGAGAAACTGTGATTATAGTCCTCCTCCCCCCGCCCCCGTTGGGGTTGTAGTGAAACTGTGTGCAAAGTGGTTGTCTGTTTTGTGCATTCAAGCTGTGAGCAGAGGCAGATTTAGGGGAGAGCGACCAGTTAGCCTGCACTGGGCACAGAGCCAAAAGGGTCTCGCAGGGACCCTTGTTGTTTGCCAGCAACAATGGCAAACAAAGCAAGAGGCGGGGAAGGGGGAGTGAACTGAATTTTGGTGTTGCACCAAATTTTAAAGCCCAAAGTTGTCCACTGCTGTGAGGTGCTTACCTGTATTTATCCAGTTGTGACATTGGTTAGAGTGTCTTTTGCCAACAGAGGGAGCCTGTTGGGAGCAAATGTTACAGCAATATGGTCAAACAAGATGTAGTCTTGCTGTATGTAGGAGAATGGAGAAAGGGAGTGAGACATGAGAACAACAGTTATATATTCCAGCATGTTTGCCCCTTCCCTTGCTTAATTGTATGGGGTGGCCTATCCTAGAACCCCCAGTTGCTTGAATTGAGTTTTGTATTGGGTATTTGGGGTTTCACACACAACAATCCCTTCGTGTGCAAAGTGACCTTTCTCACTTTTCCCCATCACCAAGTCCCCCCACTCCCTGCACAAATTCTAAGTGTGCACAGCACCAGGCCACAAAGATATAGTGCACGTGCTACATGCCCCATCATCTGAGCTGTGGTCTCCCCACCCCTGCCATCATCTGCAATGTGGAGATAGTGCTGCTGGCCAACCTTACAAAGCTGGTGTAAGGATTATGGAGATACCACGTATGAAGGTTTTCACAAAAGGGATTTTTCACATTTATTTATTTTAATAGCTTTTCTCCAAGAAAGGTTCTCAAAGTGCATGGCTACAAATAAGACAGTCCCTGTCCCTGCGTACAGGACACAAAAGGAAAACAGATTGGGAGGGAGGAGGAAATAAACTAACTCAGGTATAAGTTCTTACCTACTAAAATCCTAGTGACGTCCAACCTTAGTCATACTCAGAGACCCACTGTTGGCTATCACTCGCATTGAGCTGTAGAGGCAGGCGTGAGGGTTATTCAAAAGGCACATGGGGAAATACTGCAAGGGCAAGAAAACTCGCAGTACGCTCCATCCCCTCCTCTCTTATTCAGACCCCTCCTTCCTCCTCCTCCCCGCGTCCCCCGTCTCGCGGCAAGTGGCGCGGATCAGCGTTCCTCGCGCGTCTCTCCTTCCCGCGGAGCAGCAGCAGCGGAGGCTCCATCGCATCCTCGCAGGCGGAGCTCCGAAGGCGGCGGCGGCGGAGGGAGGGAGGCAAGAGCCCCGCAAGCGAGGCCGGTGGCGGCGGAGATGGGCAGTCGCTGTCCTCTTCCACCTTCAGCTTAGGAGCCACAACATGCTAGGGGTTGCGCAGCCCAAGGCACCTGCCAGCTGCCTCCTCCCGGCCGTGGGCAGAGGCTCTGCGCGGGGGTTGCCGGGCGCCATGGAGAGGCCGCCGCAGCCGCCACTGCTGCTGCTGCCGCCCGTAACCTGATCTGCCCCCCACACGACACACTCACACACGCACCAATACCCGTTTGGTGCTACATCATCGAAAGCCCGCGGAGCCCCCGAAAGCCCAAACGGTGAGTGATCGGCACCCCCTCCCCCTCTTCGCCCACCCCAGATGTTTTTGTCTGCGGCGAGGGGACTGATCGATTGATGCACGTTTTGCTATGGGGCGGGGGGGTGGGAATGGAAGGGTCGCCGGGAGGGGCAGGCAGCTCACCGCTGTAGCTGGAGGAGAGTGTCCGAGGCTTCCCAAGGATGGCTGTTCCCCATCAGGGTGTTTTCTGGGGAGCGGCGCTGCATCCCAGCGGCAGGGAGACGAAGCGGAGGCTTGTCCAGAACCGGGGAAACCGCGGAGAGGTCGGTCTCACGGGACCCGGAGGAAAAGCAAGCTTGCGTTAGAAAGAGGCGCTTTGGGATCCTGATCCCCTCTGTCGTCCCCGCACCTACCCGCCCTCCCCTTTCTCCGGTGGGACTTCAGGGCTGCTAGATAGACAGCAGGGCAGGTGCGAGGGGGCTGGGGAGACGGAAGGGAGGGGGACCTCTTCAGCGCCCCTCTCTCCCATCTCATTATATGGGGGAGGCTAACCTTAATCATCCACGTTGCCCAGGGCGGAGGGAGCAGCGTTTGGGGCGGCGGAGCTTCGGTTGGGATCCCGCCCATTCACACACACACCGCCGTTAGGTTCCCCTCCCCTTGATCTCCCGTTACTCAGGACGACTTTGCAACTTCTCGCAAAACTCCGCACTCTTTCTCCTTTCAGTCACTGGGGCAAGAGCCACGGTGCATAGAAGCCAACTCCTAGGGGCCGAGGTCCCTTCGGCCCCCTCAATAAAATATTTGACACACGCACACACCCAAGCATTGCCATTCAAATAGTGTGCCTCTCTGCACCATGTCTTGTGATCGATTATGCGATCGATATTTTATTCAATATTTTATTCAAGTTGGCACCCCTGCCACGGTGCGGGGAGTCTCCCCGGATGGATCTTGCCCGGGTGCTATGGGGGGTGGAGAAAGGTTGTGGGTTCCGCTGCTTCCCACTGCGCCCCCCCCAGGCCATGGAGACGCAGATGCCGGCTAATCCCTCGATGGCAGCAGATTAAATCCCGGCGAGGTTATTTTTACGATTGATCCTCCTGATTTCGCTGCTTCTGTTTTTGCTTTCGTTCCCTCGCAGATCCTGCAGGAAGCCAGGCATGGTGGATCCGGTGGCGGATGCGGGCGAGGAGAAAGACGCAGAGCCCGGGAGCGCAGCAGCGGCAGCAGCAGGTGGAGACGAGGCCTCGGCGGCGGCGGCCCCGGCCCCGGCAGCAACAGCAGCAGCAGCAGCCAGTTCCTCCTCCTCGGCGGCGGATGGTGCCTCTCCGGCGTCCGCCTCGGGCGCGGCGGCGGAAGCGGCGGCTCCTCCTGGCGGAGACGCGGCGCAGCTGCGCGAGGAATCGCCGCTGCTTCACCTGGACCTGTACAACTTCGACTGCGCCGAGGCCGAGGGCAGCCGCTATGTGCTCACGAGCCCGCGCTCGCTGGAGGCGTGCGCCCGCTGCGCCGTCAAGCCGGTGGAGCTGCTGCCGCGCTCGCTGGGCGAGCTGGTCAAAGAGGCGCCCGGGCGCTCCATGCGCGTGGCCGCCGGCCTCTACGAGGTCTACGAGATGGACCGGCAGAGGAAGCTGCAGCAGTGCCGGGAGGAAAGGGAAAGGATTATCCGCGAGGAGAAGAGGAGGCTCTTCACGCCGCTCCTCACCGCCAGCCTGCCTTCCTCGCCGGCGCCCAGGATCGCCTTCAAAAGCACCAGCGGCAGCTGCACCCCAGTAGGGCAGACCAGGACCGGCTGCTTGCCGCCTCCTCCTCCTCCTGCTGCTGCTTCTGCTGCTCCCACGGGCGCCAGGACCAAGAAGAGCCACTCCCTGGACTCCTTGCAGAAGAGGAGGGATGGCCACTCCACCAAAACCTCCTCCGACTCCGGGGCCTCCTCCTCCTACAGCGGAGACAGTTTCCGGGACAAGTGGCCCAAGGAGCTGCCCAGGACTAAGACGGTGGCAACCATGACAGCCCTAGTAGGCCGCAGCTTCAGCTTGGGCGACCTGAGCCATTCGCCCCAGACGGCCAAGAAGGTGGAGAGGATCGTCAAGGAGGTGAAGAGGAAGAAGGGCCTCAAGGAGGTGTCGGAGAGGGACCGGAAGATCGCGGCGCTGATGATTGCCAAGCAGCAGGAGGAGAGCATCTTGAAGGAGCAGAGGTACAGTGCCCACCTGCAGTGGGACATCCAGCGGAGGCAGGCGGAGCAGAGGAGGGAGCGGGAGGAGAGGCAGAAGCAGAGGGCCTTGCTGCAGTGCCACCAGCTGTGGGAGTCGCGGCTGGAGAGGCGGCGCAGCAAGGTGAGCCAGGAGGAGCAGGCGGCCACCCTGCTGAAGCAGAAGCAGAGCTGGCAGCAGGAGGAGAAGTGGCGGGAGCACCTGGAGAAGCAGGAGAAGATGAGGCGGGAGAGGCAGGAGAAGGCCCTCCTGGATGACAAGAAGAAGAAGCGCCACCAAGAGCACAACCTGAAGGCTCAGGAGGAGGTCAAGAGAGAGGCCATGGAGCGAGAGGTGCAGCTGCTGCAAGAGAAGCTGTCCTTGGCCGCCCAGAAGAAGCTGAAGAAGGAGCAGCTGCTGCAGAGGGAGAAGCGGCTGCTCAACCAGGCTGAGAAGCGGAAGCACGAGATCATCCTCAAGGAGAAGGCCAAGCAGGAGGCCGAGGAGAAGGCGGTGCTGAGGGCTTCTGTGGAAGGGAGCCTCAACAAGGCCCAGGAGAAGTACGAGCAGCTGGTGGAGAAGAGGAACCAGGAGCTGAGGGAGAGAGCCAAGCGGGAGGAGATGCACAGCCAGAGGGCCAAGAAGGCAGCGGAGAGGAGGGACCGGGAGCAGAAGGAGTACTTGAAGGCCTTGGCCAGGGCTTCTGAGCGGAAGCTGCAGCATGCGGCTCAGGTGGCCGAGGAAGTGGTGCAGCAGAAGGCCCAGAAGGTGGTGCAGAGCCGGCTGGAGAAGGAGAAGGTGCAAAAAGTGAACAAGAGGAAGGTGGAAGAGAACGAAGACATCCGTCGCAGGGAGATCTTGCAGTCCATTGAGAAGAAGCTGGAGCGGAGCGAACAGATCTGCAAGGAGAAAAAAAATGTCTTGGAAAACGCCCGGTCTGTTGCTCGGGCATCGTTCCATGTCCGGGAAAAAGTCCGGGAAGAGATGAACATACGTACCTTTGACAGGATGGCCTTTGAGGCAGAATTGCAGGCCAGCCTGGTTAAGAAATAAACAGTCTTTTTTCCTATTTCAGTTAAGTGGCAAAACCTTTTTTTTTAAAACCTTATTTATTGTTTCAGGGGAGCACAGAAACTTTGGCAGCTACTTCACAGAACTTTTTCAAACTGCATTTGTTCAGACACCTGTTTTTGCCATTCCTGCAGAGGAAAAGGTATATCTTACCCTCCACTGAAGAAAATGTTGTTTACAAGGCTCAAAACAGGGACAAATAAATTTTCTACAACCTAGTGCTGCAGTAAAAGCTCCTCAGAAAATCACGGGCCATTTCAATTCCTCCTGCAGAAATTACCAAACAAGCAGCTACTTCCTTTTTTTATACACCTCACACTTAATTTGGACGCCATTCGCTTTGGATCAGGCTGCAGCATTTGCATGCTGGGACTTGCGCTCCCTTTAATATATAAAGACGAGTGTATTTTACAGTGTTTTGGCTCATATGGTGCACTTTATCCATGCTCTTGGAATGGAAACACTGGAGCTTGTGATGGACATTTCTAGACAAAAAATGCAAGTAAAATTCTGATTAGGCCTGATCTATGGCATTAAGCAATATGCAGAAACTCTGGTGCAAATAAAACTAAAAACATATGGGAGGTGTTTTAAAGCTCTTTTCATTAACTTTTTGCTGAGCGTTATTGGGTGGCATCCAGCTGTGTCCATTGCTGAACAAAGGGATCCTCAGTGGAACAGGAAAGGGAGGCAATTTTCAGCAGTCCCCCCCCCCAACTCATGCAGCCTCCCATGGTTTCTCTAGAGCTGAAGCTGTAGTAGGAATCACAAAAAATGCTTGCCTCCCTCATTCTCCTGCTGAATGCCTTCCATCAATGGACAGACACCAATGGATGCCACCCACTTTTTACAAGAAACGTAGCAGAAAGAACAGGCAAATGTTGCAAATATTGACCTGTAGGAATAATTGCCCCAAAAGTGTTTAAAACCACCTTGAAGCTCGGTTATATTGTTGCATTCCAGGTGCGTTTCTGTAGTACCATACCTAGATTATTGGATAAAACCCGTTTTGACCAATGTGCCCAATATAAGAAGAAAGTATCGTGCCTGATCAGAGAGCTGTATGCTGAACGTAACATCTCCCCTTATCCAAAACATTAATAGCAGCTAAGTGTATACACAAGTGCAACTAGCTGCAGGCGAAAGCTTATGAACCACCTACATATTGGATGGTAATTTAATTCCTTCACAGTATGAAACAAGGTCTACTCAAATTATTTCATTTGTTTGTCAAGTGAAGCTAATAATGGTGTATGGAGACATATCTTGTAACCAAACGAGTTTTGTAATATCTCTGCTCAGCATGGGATCATATCAGCTTGGATAGCTCAGTTGGTTAGAGTGTGGTGCTGATTACGCCAAGGTTGCAGGTTCAATCCCCTAATAGGACAGCTCCTGAATTGCAGGGGGCTGAACTAGATCAGTGGTGGCCAAACCTGGCCCTCCAGCTGTTTGATGGGGGTTGTAGTCCTAAAACAGCTGGAGGGCAGAGTTTGGCCATGCCTGGACTAGATGATCCTCAGGGTCCCTTCCAAGTCTCTGATTCTAAGACATTTCTACAACTTTGAACTAAACAGTTGTGTTAGCAGCAGAATGAGTCCCACTAGCAGAATGGAGCTCCCCCCCTCCATCTCCCTCCAAATTAGCACTGTGGGGTGGGGGGGTCAGGAGAACCCCAAGAACGGGGAGCAGGGGGAGGAAAAGGAAAATTGTTTCACCTGGCAAGCAGAAATATTTGCACCCGCAGAACCATTGTAATAGTGCAACACTAAATTCCTCTCTCTGAGTATCGTAGAACAAGTCTCTTAAGGAAGCACGATTGTCCCCCCGAAAATTGCACTATGCAGAAATAAGTTGTCATGTTCATTATTTGGTTGGTTATAAATATTGTAACAACTTAACTTAGCAAGCGAGATCTTCTGCAGTATTGGAAGGGGCTAATATAGGAATGGTAATGTCCCCAAACAGAACAGAATTGCTAAATGTTGGCGACGCATCAGGACTGGCTTTACAATTCTGTTTTTACATAAATTATACAACACCATGAGCATATATGCCAGGTAGGTTTTTTAAAAAAATTAATTTGCTTATTTATTAAAATATTTCAGAGCACCTTTCGAGGCGTAATGGCCCTCACAAGGTGGTGTATAAAATTCCGGAATAAAGTATCATGATATATAAAATCATCCAGTTAAAAATGGAACAGTACAAATCAATCCAAGCACAGCAGTTAATAAAATGAGATTGAAAAAGAACAGTCTTCAGAGTTTTCTTTTTTTTAAAAAAAAAAAAAGCACAACCTGATAATGATGCAGCCACACATCTTTGGGAGGAGAGAGCTACATAGGTTTGAGGCAACCACCAAAAAAGCCCTGTTTCAGGTACCTGTCAGCCTAGTAGCTCATAGGTAGCTAACCTGATGTCCTTCAGATGTTTTAGACTCCCAACTTCTGTTGGTTTCAGCCAGCATGGCTAGTGCTTAGCGATTGTGGGAGTTGTAGACTACAGCCTCTGGAGGACACCCCATTGGCTATGCATAATCTAACCTGTATCATTAAGAGGTTGGGTGGCCATGATCTGCCAGAGATTCTTTAGCTGTGGTTTCCTAAATTGCAGCGGGTCAGACTAGATGACTCTAGGGTCCCTTTCAGCTCTACAATTATACAATTCTATGATAATAACAATATAAAACCTGGGAGTAACAGAATGTGTAAACTTGTAAATGAATACATACTTTCTTTCTTTCTTTCTTTCTTTCTTTCTTTCTTTATTGGCTATAGGATATGGTTAAGGACAAGTGGGAGAAGCCAAAAAGCTTAGATGTATAGTGATAAATTCTAAAGTCCGGGCACTTTACATGACAATCCACATCGCGTTCTAAGATTACACAACAGAAATGAATTTCTGGCTAACACAGACATTGCGATTTCAATACCAAGCCAGCTTCTCTCTGCACTTCAACCCTGCACCTCCATCCTTCTGCTTTGTTTAAAATCCATGCTGATGAAGCATTTGGATGGACTGAAAAGTTAGCTTGCTAATTCATGACATTTGGATTGGTCATGATACAGGGTCTTTGGAAATGGCAAATCAACTCTCAGCTATGCTTGCCAATTTATCCTTCCCATTTCTCCCATTGGTGAGTTTCTTTCTGAGAAAAGCTTTAAAACCACCTTTTTAAAATGTGGGGTGGGGGTTTGGGGGTCGGGTGGGATGGGGTGGGGCTGGCTATTGGGTTGTTGTTTTATTTTGATCATGTATTTTATGGTTTTATATTTTGATTTTATTCTGAAAACTGCCCTGAGACCTGCGGGTATAGAGCGGTATATCAATTCAATAATAAAAACAACAATAATATTTATTTTGCACACAGATAATTGGCAAATAGCAGCCCAGGAGATAATCCCTGCTGTGAAATAAGTGGCAGTGCTGCATCCTTGCCTGTCCCTGCTCCTCTATGCCAATGATGTTCTCCTGGAGACACCTAGCTTGGTCGTCCTAGGGGATTTTAACATCCATGCCGACACGACCTTACAAGGGGCCGCTCGGGACTTCGTGGAAAGCATGGCCTCCATGAGGCTGTCCCTGAATAAGTCTGGCCCAACCCATAGCCGCGGACATGCCTTGGACCTGGTGTTTACCTCTATGGATGTTGGTGATCTGACACTAAGTAAAAGCGAAACGAAAGAAGTGCCATGGTCAGATCACTTCCTGGTGCAACTGGACTTCTCTGCGACCCATCCCCTCTGCAGGGAGGTGGGACCAATTCGGATGGTCCACCCCCGCCACTTAATGGATCCAAATGGTTTCCAGAGAGTGGTAGGGGATGCTTTATCCCATGTTGATGGCCTTTCAGCCGATTCCCTGGTGGCCCGCTGGAATGTGGAGTTAACCAGGGCTATTGACTGTTTGGCTCTGAAGCGCCCTCTCCGATTGCATGGAGCCCGGACAGCCCCGTGGTTTTCCACGGATCTGAGGGCAATGAAACAATTGTTGAGACGGCTAGAGCGCCGGTGGCGGATAACTCATTCCGAATCTGACCGGACACAGGTTAGAGCTCAACGTCGAGCCTACCAAGTGGCGATAGCGACGGCGAAGAAGACCTTCTTCGCCGCCTCTATTGCATCTGCAGAAAACAGCAGCAGGAGACTTTTTCAGGTGGTTCACAATTTAGCGGAACCACCTGCGACATCGGGGCCCAGTACAGGCCACATGATCTCCTGCAATGATTTTGCAAAGTTTTTTGCAGATAAAATCGCTCAGATTCGGGAAGAAGTAGACTCCACCGTGGGAGCAGGGCCAGGGCGGGAGAGTGCTAGAGTCCTGTCTAGTCAAGTTGTGTGGGATCAATTCCAATCTGTTACCTCCGAGGATGTGGACAGGCTGCTTGGACAAGTGAAGCCAACCACCTGTCTCCTGGATCCTTGCCCATCCTGGCTTATAAAAGCTAGCCGGGAAGGACTGGGTGATGGGCTTCGTGGGGTGGTGAATGCTTCCCTCCGTGAGGGAGCCTTCCCAGACCCGCTGAAAGAGGCGGTTATTAAACCGCTTCTTAAAACACCATCTTTAGATGCAGCCACGATGGCCAATTATCGCCCAGTCTCAAATCTTCCATTCTTGGGCAAGGTGATTGAGCGAGTGGTTGCTGAACAACTCCAGGCACGCCTGGAAGAAGTGGACCATTTGGATCCCTTCCAGTCGGGATTCAGGCCTCATCATGGGACTGAAACTGCCTTGGTCGCACTGGTTGATGATCTCCAGCGGGCTAGGGACAAAGGTGAGAGCTGTTTCCTAGTTCTGCTGGATCTCTCAGCAGCGTTTGATACCATCGACCATAACATCCTACTGGACCGTCTTGAGGGACTGGGAGCTGGGGGCACTGTCATGCAGTGGTTCCGCTCCTTCCTCCTGGGCCGTGTTCAGAAAGTGGTGGTGGGGGATGAGTGTTCAGACCCCTGGGCTCTCACTTGTGGGGTGCCTCA